TTTTTTTTTTTTGAGACAGTCTCTCTATGTCGCTCTTCTTAGAGTGCTGTGGCATCACAGCTCACAGCAACCTCACACTCTTGGGCTTAAGTGATTCTCTTGCCTCAGCTTCCCAAGTAGCTAGGACTATAGGTCCCCACCACAACGCCTCTCTTTCTTTTTTTTTTTCTTTTTTTTTGGTTGTAGTTGTCATTGTTGTTTGGAGGCCAGGGCTGGGTTCAAACCCTCCAGCTCCAGTGTATGTGGCTGGCACCCCAGCCAATGAGCTATAGGTGCTGAGCCACAAGCGATTCTCTTGCCTCAGCCTCACGTGTAGCTGAGACTACAGGTGCCCACCACAATGCCTGGCTATTTTTAGTGATGAGGTCTCACTCCGGCTCAGGCTGGTCTCGAACCTGTTAGCTCAGGCAATCCACCAGCCTCAGCCTCCCAAGTGTGAGGCACTGCACCTGGCCTAACTTCTTTATCATCTAGTCAAGGCAGCATGGTAATCTCTGGCACAGGTCAAGGGTATGCCCTCCATTTGTAACTAGGAGGGGTTATTGTGATCCAAAAGTGGAGAAGCAGGAGCTGTGTGCCACCTTGAGCACAGCTGTTTAGCAGTTTTACAGGGCTAAGGATCTGTGAGTGGGCTACAGTAAAACTATCTGTGGCTGTACATCTTTTGGAAAATCTTAAATGTTGTGGCACACTGCCCCATTTGGAAGCCACTGACCCCAAGCTCTGCAGGCTGGGGTTCCTCCTGAGGGCTCCTCAGTGCAAAAGCAGGAGAGCAACTGAGAAACTGGCATTGTCCCTCCAGCAGCTACAGGCCATGGTTTCCTTTCCCCCTGGCCTCCCACTCTCCTTCCTGGCATCGCTACTTCCCCATCCCACAACTTCTCTGTGTACTGGAATGATCTATCAATGAGACATCAGGGCCATAGTCCCATTCACAATGCAAGACTGAGGTCATGGCCCCTCTCTTGTGGAATCACAGTGAGGACTAAATAAGAATTACTGTGTACCTGGAAGTTGAATATGAGTTGAGTTTGGGCTATGAGGACCTAGAGGTGGTGACACATGGCCTTCAGCCCTTCATAGAGTAAGAGGGAGGGAACTGCTGGCTTATGGCTGACCGTGCCTGCTGGGATCCAGGAGTTCTGGCCTCTTTCTTGCTCTGCCTTCAGGTTTCTCTGGGAGACTCCCCCTTGTCACCAGGTCCAGGGCAAAGACCACCAAGCATAAGAAGTGTCCAAGAAGCAGGCAAGTTTTAATGAACGTCACAAAGGGACCAGGTGAGGAGGAAACAAACTATGAATGCAGCCTTTATTACCATTTTGTCAGTGGCTGAGTAGAGGAAGGAGGCTCAGCCCTGCCTAACTCACTCCCAGACTCAGAGACAGCTGGGAGGGGTGTCCCTGGAAGTGCTTCCCTACCCAACAGAGGGCTAAGGGGAAGGGGAGAGGATTCTGCTGCTGCTGCCGCCCCCAAGAGCTGGGAGACCTCAAGTATTCAGCTGACCTCCAGGGCTCGGGCAGAAACATCAGATGTTGGAAGGTTAGATGGACTGAACAGATGAAGAAACTCTTGCAGTCCCCAAACAGCTTTGACATCTCACAGAAGGGACCCTAGGGCTTGCTGACTAAGACCCTCAGGGAGGTACCCCCAGGCTGAGGGGCCCCTGTTCAGCAAGGGTCAGGACTGGGTCTAGGGGAAGAGGAGGGGCCTGGGGAGACCCTGGGCACGTGTTAGACGGGCTTTAGCTGGTGCTCTGCTGCTCCTGCTGGCGGACAAGGCTGGCAATGGGGCTGGTGATGCCGCCTATCAGGGCCCAGTACTCATCGAAGCTGATGCGGCCATCGTGGTTGGCATCCAGGCTCTGGATGAGCTTGTCTGCAGCCTTGCGGTTCCCCGTGTCCTGAGGAGGAAGCAGGGGTCAGCAATGCCAAGGGTCAGCCCCACAGAGGGGCTGGTAGTGTCCCAGGATCTGGCCTGGGTGGTAGCTATTCTTGAAAGATGTAAACAGAGCGAGGTTTAGGCATCCTGAGAAGACAGAGGGCTGCAGACAGGGGACCCCAGGGCAGGGACAACTCTGAAAGGACCAAGGCTGCATGAGGGTGGGCAGGGGAGGAGAGAAGGGCAAAGCCCTGGGGTGAGTCCACACACCGTCAGCATGTGGTTCAGCTCTTTCTGGAGCATCTTTCGGAAGCTGCTCTTGCTGATCTTGTTCTTGACCAGGCTGTGCTTAGATACATATTTATAGAAGTTTTCCACCAGGACCACAACTGCCTTCTCCAGTTCTGTGTAGCAGTCTGCCATCTCAGCGTGTCAACTCCTCAGGGGGGCCTGGGCACTGTGTGGAGGAGAGACCAGAAGAAATCTGTGTGCCTCCCCTCCCCAGCCGGCTCCTCTTCTGAAGAAGGGAGGAGGTATGGAAAGGAGAACATGGCGAGGGCACAGGGGTGGGCCCTGGAATGAAAACTATGTGGCTCTTCTAATCCAGATGCTCCCAGCTCAACCACCTTGACAGGTTCTCCAGGACGTCCCCAGCCCCAGGCACTGGGCGGCAGCTCTGAGAGAACAAGAAGCTCCCCACAGGATGAGGCTGAGAGTAACCACCCGTCTGCTCCA